TTTTATCATATTTTATCTTTTATTTAATCCTATTTTATCTCATTTTATTATTTTATCTTTTATTTTATCTAATTTTATTTTTATTTTTTCTTATGTTATCTTTTACTTTATCTTGCATTTTATCTTTTTTTTATTTTAATTAATCTTATTTTATCTCATTTTATCATTTATTTTATCTAATTTTATATTTATTTCATCTAATTTTATTTTTGATTTATCTTATCTTTTAGTTTATCTTGCATTTTATCTTATTTTTTTTATTTTAATTAATCTTATTTTATCTCATTTTATCCTCTATTTTACCTTATTTTATCTTTTCTTTTATCTTATTTTATCTTCTTTTATTTTATCTTGTATTTTATCTTTTATTTATCCTTTATTTTATGTTTCATTTGATCTTATCCTCCTTTATCTTATTTTATTTTCATTTTTATCCATTTTTTATTCCCTGGAACAATTTGCAATTTCTCTTCCAAAAAAAATTAATTTACAATTAATTAACAATTAATTTTTAAATTTTTTTTTTCCCTGGGTTTTTCATTTGGGATGGTTTGGAGCCGGAACAATTCCCGAGGAAACGGTGAAATTCGGGAAACGGTCCCAAAAAAATGGGGTGGGAATTTTGGAGGAGTTGGATCCGGAATCCTGGTGGGTTCATCCAGCTCCGGGTATTCTGTGATTCTGAATTTAGGGAATCCTAAATCCGGGAATGGTTTGGGTTGGATTTATGGATCTTCAATCCCGTCCCGGTCCAATCCCAAAATTTTCCACAGTTCCAGYGSGATCCCAAATCCATCCTGGGACATTCCCTGGGAATTGCAGCCCGGCCGGGAATTCCTTCCCAAGAGGATTTTTTTGCCTTGGAAGGATTTCCCCAATTTCCCCAATTCAGATTTTTGTCCTCTCCTTTATTTCCCATCATCCTTTGGAATCTCCAGCTTTTCCCTTCTTCCCGGGTTTTATTTTCCCAACCACATCCGGGATTATTCCGGGGTGACTGGGAGCGTCGGGATTTTCCCAGAGGATCCCATTCTCTGTTCTTCCCGGAAATTCTCGTAGTTCCCAAAATCCCAGAATGCTTTGGGGTGGGAAGGGACCTCAAATCCCATCTTATTCCAGCCCCAACACCTCCCACGATCCCAAATCCATCCCGAGATATTCCCTGGGAATTCCTTCCCCAGATCCCAATAAATCCCCCCTTTCCCAGGGAATTCCCTCCATTCCCGGCTCTTCCAGCCCCAGATCCGATCCATCCCCACCCCGACTCCTCCCTGCCAAGGAATTTCGGGATCCAGGCCCTTCCCTGGCAATCTCGGCACTCCAGGAAGGGTCTCCCTTCCCTTTTCCATCCCCGACTTCCATCCCAATCCCTCGCCATGGATTCGGAGCGTCCTCCATCCCACAATCCCGCCATGGTTGGGATGGGATTCCCGCAGCTTCCATCCCATCCCATTGCAGTCCCGACACCTCCCCCGATCCCGGGGGGATCCAAATCCATCCTGGGACACTCCCGGGGATTTTTTTTGGAATTTCTTCCCCAGATCCCAATAAATCCCCCCTTTCCCATGGAATCCATTCCCGCTGTCCCATCCCTCCATCCCTTATCCCAAATCCCTCTCCAGCTTTCCCAGAACTCCTTTAGGATCGGGAAGGGGCTCTGAGCATTCCCTGGATTTTTCCCCAATCCAGGGGAAACATTCCTAGCTCCGCCCCCACTCCTGGGGATGCCCTGGGAATTCCAGCCCGGCTGGGAATTCCTTCCCAAGATCCCAATAAATCCCCCCTTTCCCAGTGAAAATCCATTCCCAGTATCCCATCCCTCCATCCATCACCCCAATTTTTTTCCCATTTTTTTCCGTGATATGAATCCCACCCCATTCCCAATCCCGCCGGGATTTTTTTCCCTGGATTCTCCCATTTCCCAACAGGCGGTGGTTGGACGGTGATCCAGAGGCGCCAGGACGGATCCGTGGATTTCAACCGAACCTGGAACGAGTACAAGGACGGATTTGGGGATCTCAACGGGGAATTCTGGCTGGGAAACGACAACATCCACCGAATCACGAGCCAGGGCGATTATTCCCTACGGATCGACCTCGAGGATTGGAACAACAAACACAAACACGCTTTTTACCAGGTCTTCAGGTAAATCGAGGCAATCCGTCAATTTATTCTCTTCCGGAGTCAGTTTTACGGCAAAATTCCCACAAAATCTACTAATTTATTYTCTTCTAAAGTCCGTTTTTCCAGCAAAATCCACCAGGGGTGGTTTGGTCCTTCCAAAATCGATTTTCCATCAAAATTCCCACAAAATCCATCAACTGATTCTCTTCCAGAGTTCATTTT